CTTCCCCGGCTAACGTGCTTCTAAAAAAATGGGAATATTTATAATTCCTTAGAGAATAAACCACAATTTAAAGGTGAAACAGCGTTCACAGAGAAGTTCTCTCAAGTTCTCCCAAATGAGCCAACACATAAACCAACAGGGCTAATAAATATACTCCCAATATGATTTTTTTTCAACTCTTCCAGTTATGAATAGTGTTGGATCTGAATATTTTAAACTAAAAAGCGTAAATATATTATGTATAAATTAGTTTCATATTTATGACATTTATATTCCATCTTTCTTTCATTGCATTTTTGTTGTTGAGTCGCACAGTCAAGTCCGACTCTTTGCAACCCCATGGACCAGATCACGCCAGGCCTTCCTGTCTTCCGCCGTCCTCTGAAGTTGGCTCAATTTCATGTTCGTTGCATCTATGACACTGTCTAACCATCTCATCCTTTGCTGTCCCCGTCTTCTTTGACCTTCAATTTTTCCCAGCATCAGGGTCTTCTCCAGTGAGTGCTCCCTTATCATTTGGTGGCCAATGTATTTGAGCTTCAGTTTCATTATCTGGCCTTCCAGGGAACAGTCAGGGTTAATTTGTTTTAGGATTGACTGATTTGATCTTCTTGCAGTCCAAGGGAGTCTCAAGAGTCTTCTCCAGCACCATAGTTCAAAAGAATCTATTATTTGGCGCTCGGCCTTCCTTATAGTCCAACTCTCACAGCCATACATGACTACTGGGAATACCATTGCTTTGACCATGCGGACTTTTGTTGGCAGGGAGATGTCTCTACTTTTTATCATGCTGTTTAGGTTCACCATCGCTTTCCTCCCAAGGAGCTGGCGTCTTTTAATTTCATGGCTGCTGTCACAGTCTGCGGTGATCTGGGATCCCAGGAACGTGAAGTCTGCAAAAAATTCCCAGAAGTCCTTCTCTCTAAGTGTGACTGCATGCTCATATATGCTGAGCTTCAGAAAGGCTGCTATATCATGGGACCTCCCAACCATACTTAGTGACCTTATAGGAAGTTGAACATTGTGTGTGTGCACGTGTGCATATAACCATAGGATCTGTTTTCTAATCCTAACAGTATTTTATTATTTATATTTATTAATTTAGATATCCACACCTCTATTTTGCGGACCCAAAGCAGCATACAACAGAATTCTCTTTATCCTCATGACAATTCTGTGATTCTGTGAGGTATATTAAGCAGAGACAGACATACAGACAGACAGACAGGCCCAGAGTCACCCAGCAAGCCCAGCTCACAGCCTCACATCTTAAATTCTACAACACTACTCTAACTCAAGACAAACCTCACATTTCACTTGATTTGACATATATTGTACTGGGCTTGTTTTAGGAAAATACAAATGTAATGGTATAATTAAATTGTCAAATAGCTTCTACATATTACAATTACATTTTCAAGAATCTATAGCCTACTTTCCAACAAGGTAAATTTTGCAAGCCATTCATGTTTAAGCTACAAGGATCTCACTGGAGCATATAAAAGAGCAACCCTAAATTGGTCTATTCAGAATCCTTCTCAAAGCTGTTCAATGGAGCTTACTCCTGGTATAGAGTAGCAGGGATGGTGCTGGTAGGCTATCTGCCATTCTGTTCTCTGTGGCCATGGAATCTATGCATTGTCCTATGAAGCTATATAAGTGGACTAAACACTGCTGTTTACTTACCTGATATTCTATGGAACAATACATGATTGATTTTTCATTTAATTACAGGTCCCAAACATCCAAGTTTTAGCACCATATGATATGTTGTATTACACTCACAGCAATGATTGTAATGTGAACTCTTCTACATGGCTTGGTTGTTACTTGGGGACTGGTCCACCACATATGCTAAGCCCTGATGATATATTACAGTCCTTGTGTAATATTTTGCTGCATCTGTACTCAGAGTCATTCATAAAAAAAATTTAAGCCATCATTTAGTTTGTTAATTTAATATATTTGGCTGGAAGCCAGTTTGAGGGTAGAAAATGTTTTTTTAAAAATAAATAACTTGGAAAGCCAATCTGTGAATGCACCTGAAATAGGTTCTAAGACAGAAGAATTTTCACACTGCTATTTGGAAAACAATGAAAATCAGATTTGAATATGAGTAAGACCTTCATTTATTTAAAACATTTTAATCTCACCTATCTTCTTGTTTTTGGCAAGTATTCAAGGCAGTTTACAATTAAAGATAATTAGAATTAATAAACTAATAACACCACTAATGTACCAAACTTAATGGCAAGGAATAACAATATGGCCCAAACAATTTACAGTAAAAAAATACAAAATACATCCAGTTTCAAAGCCTTCTAGGGGGAAAAAAGCCTTCAGACAACACAAAGATGGTGAAATCGGAGGGCAGGTTCTAGCCAGAACTCATTTATGATGATAGTGATTCAATACAGACAAAAGAACACCACCAGATTTTTAGAGGATAGTTCCATCAATGGCAAGTCATTTAAATTGCACCATGCCCTGAGGAATTTATAATCAATGTGCAGAAGAGACAACAACCTAGGTGAGAGGGAAAGGCAATGCAGGCAGATGCAGCTGGAAGTTCTTCTTAGGCTTCATTTCAATTTGAATTCTTTAGTAGAAATGTAAATTACCTTACAGCAGCAAGATTTAACTGTTTCAGGGGGACTGTTTTTTTTTTTAAAAAAAGTAAAGCGGAAAGGCTTACCTTCACTGCTCTTTTAGGTGTTTCAGCCAAGATTGGAGGGAGTATGCCTTTGTAGAAACCAAACAATCTATTGAAGGAAGGAAGACAATGAAAATTGTAAACCAGGTAAGTAAGAACATTAGCCAAGTCATAATTCTGTTTTCTTTTCAGAATAAAATGACTAATCTCAAGGAATTCTTAATTCTTCAAGACAGCCATTATGTTAAGAGTGAAGTTCTGGGTTGTTTTTTTAAAAAAATGTATTATGTAACTATCACTGTAGTCCTTAAATTGCTTCCCCTGAGATAATGTTGCTGACTTCAATAGGACTCAACTGGAACAAATTCTTCAAGGATTGTACCAATCTGGGTTTACGTCACTGGGATAAGAACCGTAACTGGCAATGGATAAACACTAATTTAACCCACACAATCCCTGTGGATTAGATGACTGTTCCATTCATTCAGTGAAGGAATAATCTTTGTTGAAGGAGAAAAAAATGAGAGATAGTTCATTAAGTGTTTAAAATCTAAGTAATACTTAGAAAAGATAGTATTGTATTTAATAAAAAGCAGACAATGTATCGCACCTGAAAAATGTTGGGCATTTTTTTGGAGAGTGGGCTTTGGCTTCTTGAAACTTTAATTCAATATATAGAAAATATTTGACAATTTTACTATTAGATTTGTATGTTCCTAAAGCAAACCAGTACAATTATGTATGTCAGACAGAGTGAATGTGAGCTCTGTCTTGAGTTAGGTTAGAATTACACTGTCCTCATGTGAGTCTCTGCCCCCATGTTGTGACTGACATGGTTATAGGCATTACATATTGCTTGAATGGATTTCTTTTACTGAATGGAAATAAGTATAAATAAAGGAGCTAATAAAGTTTACTCAGCTCTTAAATTTGTGGAGGATAAGTCTATCAGTGGCTACTAGCCATGGTGACTGAGGGGAACCTCAACATTCAGAGGCATTAAGCCTCTGAACCCCAAAGCCAGGAGGCAATATTCGGGGAAGGTCTTGGCCTCTATGCCCTGTTGTTCGCCATCCAGAGGAGCTGATTGGCTACTGTGTGAGACAGCATGATGGACCAGATGGACCATTGGTCTGATCCAACAGGGCTTTTTTTATGTTCTTAAAAGTTCTTAAAAGTGGGACAAACACAACTCATTGCCAACATAACAAAAACATAGCTGATAGTACAATATTCTGTCTCCTCTGGTTTTCATATGCAGCAGAATGAGGTGGTAGGATTCTGAGGTGGCAAAATTGGCTGTACTGTTTCAGACGGTAGGTGGAGAATGTCATATTTTTAAGAGTCTTCAGTATAAAAGCTGTTTGAAGGACTGGCCTATGCAAATTCACTTAATGCTAGCACAGACTTCAAAGTCTCAGAGAAGGACAGTAGAGAATTAGTATAGGGGAAGATAGGATACAACGAACAAGAAATTAAGCAAACTCCGGAGGACGGCGGAAGACAGGAGGGCCTGGCGTGATGCGGTCCATGGGGTGGCAAAGAGTCGGACTCAACTGTGCGACTGAACAACAACAAAAACAAAGATAGGGTGCTATCTGACCTTTCCTTTTCCATTCCTGTTGCTGTCCCTTTGTTACCCAGAATGCTGCTCTCAGGGGTCCCTTCCTTCCAGTCACTTCCCTCCTCTCTCTCTTTCTCTGTCCACATTCATGGCTGGATATGCTTTCTACAATCTCTCTCCATCCTAGCTAGCTAGAAGCCTTTACTCTACCTTTCCTATATAGTATGGTATTCTCTCATGATAAAGAACTTCTATTTCATTTCTAAGTAACAAGCAGAAGTGTGAACTTATTTCTCAAGCAGCCAGACTATAGAATTTCACTGTGCTCTACTTTCAAAAGCCTTCACAGGTGCAATGTTAGCCTATCAGGGAGAAAGGTTATAGAGTTGCCCTTCATAGAGTGAGCCCGTTCGTGGGGTAGGGCGGGGTAGAAATACTCGAATAAATAAAAGCCCTTCATATGCTACACTAGTTTCCCACTTACAAGGAATTATTAATGTGAGGGAACCTTGAAAAATGCAATCCTTTGCCAGCAAACTGAAGCGATTATCCCATTCTACCATTTCATTATCACCTCATTCTGCCACATGCACAGAGCAGGCCTCAGAGTTCTTGCCTCTAGACATTTCCTACAACTTGTTAGTACTAACTTATAATCTCTCTTGTCTGTGCTTTGCACATTTATGAATTACAGTAGGTGATGTACATCACAGGGACAGGCTAACTTGGTTGTTGTGGAAAGAAGGGGAAAATGCGAATGAGTTCTAGAAAAATGGGGAATAGGATAGAGTTATTTCAAACAGAGAAAGGAATAATGCATAGTGAACAATGAAATCCAAACATCTACAAAATATAACAAGGATACCCTGGTATGGACATGTGACTTTGCATAAGCAACATTACTGTGAACTGAGACAAGCTCCGTCAGGCAGGCATTGAATTTGGGGCTTGGCAAAATGTTAAGATATCTTGAGGTACATATAAGCAAGAACTCCAGACCCCACCTGGAGGTTGGCAATCTATGGTCCTTACAGAAGAAGACCTTGTGCTGGTCCTTCACACTGAGTTTTACATAGTGTACCCTCAGCCATTTTGTGTTTGCACAAGAGATGATATAAGCAATTTCTGGGCACTTTAAGATATAAGAAAGTAAGTGCTGCAGAAGATCTTGCACAAGTGGAACTACATGAAGTCATCCAAGCCACTGAGTTAGATGCAACCTTGCCTAAAACCTCTCCTTACTACAGCACCAGTTGCCCATGTCTTTTGTTTATGTAGGTTCCATGATCCACAGCATAGCTTTTTTGGGAATCAAAGGGGACTCTCTCCTCCCATTTAACCCCTATTTAATCTCTTCAATGTTAATTGTATTACTGAATCACATGACAAATACAAGTAAATTTACCATAATAAACATAACAAACAAGAAAAAACATAAAAAGATAAATGAAAAACAAAATAAGAAATTCTGAAAAAAAGAAATACAATATTTACAGTTATTGCTACACATTTTGCTTTACAGTTTTTACAAGATGTTTTTGTAGCTTTATTGCCTGTACCTGCATTATCTATTAAATCACATCTTTCTCTAAGTTCCTAATGTTAAATGGAGGGTGAAGAGTTGTTGAGTGTTGGCTGGCAAAAGATGCATCCACACTCATTTGATTTTTTTGCAATTCTAATATGATATGCTAATTTTCTAACAGAACTCTAATTCACAAATACTCATACCACATACCATTTATAATTTATGTTGGGGATTTCCAATGTTGAAATATGATGAATCTTGCTATTAAAATGTTTGTATTAATGATTTATGTGCCAATGTTCTTATGTAAATAAATATAGCAATGCCAATTTTGAACCAGGTATATTTCAATTTTTTATCTCATCGTATATTAACTTCCAGTATTTTTTATTGTTATGCAACTCCACCACATATGGAAGTATGTACCTTTATTATTTTGGCATCTTCACCATCACAAAGACTTTTAAAAACTAGAAATAAGTTTTACTGGTTAGGTGCCATCTATCCAATAGTTTCAAGGAATTTTCTCTTAACCTAGGTGAAACACAATTATTAAAAACACTACAAATCAACAAGCATAAAGTGCTGCCGGCAATTAAAATTCACTTAGATGGTACACTTTCAATGGATTTCCATTTCCCAAATGTTCTAAGATGTTCTTCTGCTTGTAGTTTCTTTATGGCAACAACTCGATGGTGGATCATGGGCCAGGTACTGCAACTGTTGAGCGATCCGACAGCAGTGGCCCCTAATTGAATGCTTGGCGGAAGAGCTCTGTCTTGCAGGCCCTGCGGAACTGTAAGAGGTCCCTGTAGGGCCCTGATCTCCTCTGGCAGCTCGTTCCACCAGGTAGGGGCCGCCACCGAGAAGGCCCCGGCCCTAATGGCAGCTAACCTGGCCTCCCTCGGGCCAGGGAGGGTCAACCGGTTTTGAGACCCAGACCATAGTGCTCTCTGAGGTATATACAGGGAAAGGCGGTCCCGTAGGTATGTTGGACCCCAGCCATAAAGGGCTTTAAAGATAAGAACCAGCACCTTGAACAGATTCGGTATGCTATTGGCAGCCAGTGCAGTGTCCTCAGCGCAGGCTGGATGTGCTCCCATCCATGGAGGCCCAACAACAGCCTGGCAGCGGCATTCTGCACTAGCTGCAGCTTCCGAATCCATAACAAAGGCAGCCCCATGTTGAGAGCATTACAGTAGTCTAGTCTTGAGGTGACCATTGCATGGATCACTGTAGCCAGGTCAGCACGGTTGAGGAAAGGAACCAACTGCCTAATCAACCAACTGCCTGAACCGTGGCAGTTCAGAGTTGGGGGTCCCGCTCCCAGCCTTTGATGGGGCACCTCTCATGCCAGCATCAGAGGTTAGGAGTCTGGGGGTGCTCCTGGATGCCTCCTTGACAATGGAGGCTGAGGTAGCAGCCACTGCTAAATTGGCCTTTTATCATCTTCAGCTGGTTCGGCA